TTTTTAATTTAAAACATTTTATTTATTATTTTTATTTTAGCAATGCCGCAGAGGGCTTTGGATTCCCCTGGAACTGGAGTTAAGGATGGTTCGTAGCCACCATGTGGGTGCTGGGAATCAAACCTGGGTCCTCTACAAGAGCAGTCAGTGCTCTTAACTATTGAGCCATCTCTCCAGCCCCTTATTTATTATTTTTTATGTGTATGAGTATTGTGCCTTCATGTAAGTGCATGTATGTAGTGCAGTACCTGTGCAAAGTGTATAAATCCTATGTGCACTGCTTGGTGACTTATCACAAGTATTTTTACTCCTATATGACTGTCCCCTATGTCAAGATACAGATCCAATAAACTTTAAAGTTCTTTGGATTAAGCATAGGCAGGAGAGAGTATTTTATGAGAGTCATGTGCTTACAGATTCCTCTTTGACTCAGAAAAATGCCTTTCTTTAAACAATTATTTTTTGTTATCGTTTATTTTGTGTGGGAATGTGCGTGTGTTTGTTCCATGGCATACATGCCACAGCATTCATGTGGAGGTCAGAGGACAACTTTCAAGAGTTGGTTCTCTCCTTTCCACCATGTGGGCTCCAGGAATGGAACTCAGGTTGTCAGGCTTGGTGACAGGTGCCGTGACCCACTGACCCATCTCCCTGGCTTTTTCTTTTTAAAGATGTTTTCATATGCTAGACTATCTCATAAGATTGTTATATTTTTTCTGAAATGTGCGCGTTCTTATAATAATGGGATTCAAATTATTTATTTGATATTAGGAATACAGTTGGACAGAGTAAACATAAAGTTACAAGTGATCGAGTGGTGAATTCAGGGCTGATTTTTGAAGATAAACCAAAACCTTCCAAGCAGTCACTTCAGTCTTATCAAGAAGCTTTGCAGCAGCAGGTACCCATTCACTCATTTTATACTGACTATCCAGCTTATAGCACAGTAGTCTCTCAGACCTCAGTGTGGTGAACAGGAAAAAAGTAAATGGGTAATATGGTAAGTTTTGAAGTAGATACCCTGGAATTCTTAGGAAGCATAGAATAGGATTGTCTGGGGGCAATTGGGAAGGTTTCATATGATTGTTGATATTTAAACTGCATATGTTAATAGGCATTCCTGGTATATTCAGGGAGTGGAATTGGTTTGGGGGAAGAGGCTGTAGCATTAGATTGTGTGGATTATGAAGGACTAGCTTATAAGCAGACTCAATTTTATCTTGTAAGAAAACTGAAGCCAAGAATAGTAAAATGATTAGTTGATATGAGCAGATCTAGCTTTTAGGACGAAGCTGTTTATTATCTGGACAATTGGAAAAAGAAATTTAAGCAGAAAAATCATTTTTATTTCTCTATGTCCTTTATTTATTCACTTTCTTATTTGTGTGTGTAGGCTCCTTGATTCTCCGGTGTGTATATGGAAGTCAGAGGATAACTTGTAGGAGTTGTTTCTCTCCTTTTACCTTGTAGGTTTCAGGAATCACCTCAGGTTGTCAGCTCGATTTTTTTTTTTTTTTTAAATCTTCTGAGCCATCTTGCTGGTTTAGTGACCTATTAATAGTTTCAGCCAAGAGGTGATAAGACCCTGATCCATATGGAGAAAAAGGGAGGATATCCAAGACACAGTTCTGTTTCATGGCCAGAACATCTATACAGGGATAAGAAAAAAACAGAAGACTTGAACATGATTCCAAGTGTTCAAATCAAGGAGACTTAGATCACAAACCAATAAGGAATACATTTTTAAGAAAGACAGTGGGTTCTGTTGTTTTTTATGTTGTTTAAAGTCAGTTTACTTAAGAGTAACTTTTGGGGGGTTGGGAAGTGGGAATCACCCTGAGAAGGTTCATAGTATTGATACATATCTAAATTAAAGTACTTTTCTGTAAAATTCCAACTAAATTTCTTTATAAAATACTATTTTTGTTGTTTCGTATTTTGTTTTTTTGAGACAGGGTCTCATATATACCAGGTTGGCCTTGAACTCATTGTGTAGTCAAGAGTGACCTTGAACTTCTGACCTCCTACTTTTACCTCCTGAGTGTTGGGATTACAGGCAGTACCCAGTTTTATGTGGCATAAAGGATTGATCCAAGGATGTCCTGCATGCTAGACAAGTGCTCTACCAGCTGAGATAGACCCTTAGCTCCTTGTATAATATATATATTTTAAAAATATTTTATTTACTATTTTTATTTTATGTATATGAATGTATTGCCTGCATGTATGTAAGTGCACCCATGTTGTGCAGTGCCCCTGGAGGTCAAAACATGGTGTTGGATCCCCTGGAACAGGAGTATAGCTGCTAGCCACCATATAGGTGCTAGGAATTGAAGCTAGGTCCTCTGGAAGAGCAGCCAGTGCTCTTAACCACAGAGCCATCTCTTCAGTCCAATTTTTAATGTAACTTCTATATGGGAAAACTTCTAGAGAGGTAGATTTTTAAAAAAAATTATAGAATTATTATAAATTTTTGTATGAGGGATTCTCCAGATACAAGACTGAATTTTGAAATTTGGAATATGGTTTTGAATGAACATATTAAAAATATCAGTGATAGCCAGATGTGTGGTGTTCGCCTTTAATCCCAGCACTTGGGAGGCAGAGGTGGACAGATCGCTGTGAGTTCAAGGCCAGCCTGGTCTACATAGTGAGATCCAGACCATTTCAGGCTACAGGGAGACCCTGTCTCAAAGTCTCAAAAAAAGAAAAAAAAAATCACTGATAAAGCTCATTTTCCCAATTTAAGAAGTTAGTTTTTTTGGTGCGTATGGTACTGGGATTGAACCCAAGGCCTTGCACATGCCAGGCCAACACTGTACTGGCTAAGGTGTATACCTGACCTGAGAAGTCTTATTCTACATGTGTGATAACATCTCAGGTTGCAGTGGAGTAAAAGAGTGTCTTAATTTCCCTTGCATAAGGCTTTGAGTTAAAGACTTCCTTTAAAAAAGGGGGGCTGGCGGGGTTGGGGATTTAGCTCAGTGGTAGAGCGCTTGCCTAACAAGCACAAGGCCCTGGGTTCGGTCCTCAGCTCTGAAAAAAAAAAAAAAGACAAAAAAGGGGGGCTGGAGAGATGACTCAGTGGTTAAGAGCACTGGCAGCTCTTGCAGAGGACTAAGATTGATTCCCAGCGCTCACATGGCAGCTAACAACTGTCCTTAACTCCAGTTCCAGGGAAATTTGATGCCCTCTTCTGACCTCCACAGGTGCTGCATGCCACAAGTGCACTTACATATATGTGGGCAATATGCTCATGCACATACAATAAAAATAATAATATAAAATATTAAAAAAGACTTCTTAAAAATATAGAATCTTGTTCATTTCCTCTCCTTATATCCGTGGAGAGCGATCTTGTGCTTATACTTGGTGATAAGAATATATTAATTTCATGTGCTTTTATAAAACTACTTAGAGCAGAATAGCATGCCCCCCCCAAACCTTCAAACCTTCACCCTCTGAATTCTGGAAATAGACTTTGTTCAGCCAGTACAGTCTGATGAGGCAGAGAGTGGACTTTGTGACTTGGAAGTTCCAATGAAAGAGTAGATGAGAAAGAAAAATAGGGAGAACCCAGGGGACTGGTGAGTTAGAAAGGGAATGCTCAGATGGAAGTGGGGAGAGAAGGGGCAATTGGTTGGGTCTCAAGTGACTCTACTGCCTGGGAAGGTTTCTGGTGACATGATGGGAGGAACAGCAGTTGTATATTCCAGCCATTCAAATAGTTTTTTAGTTTAGTCTTACTGTGATTTTTAACTTTATAGGGAAGTTTACTGAAAAAAAAACTCTACAGCTTACTTTTCCAACCAGAAAAATAAAATAATAGTAATGCTTGTCTCAGCCTACTAGTCCACACTTACTCTAAGTATATCTTATGCTGTCAAGATTCGGGAAAGAGAAGCAAGAAGGAAGAAAGAGCGTGAAGAAAAAGAAGAATATGAAGCTAAATTGGAAGCTGAAATGCGAATTTACAACCCTTGGGGGAAAGGTGGAGGTGGTGCTCCTCTCAGAGATGCCAAAGGAGATCTGATAAGTATGCTGCTTCTGTGAGCTTGTTTTTAAGGTGGATTTATTTCCAACATTTTAGAAGAGGAGAGTAGAAAGAGGTGGGAATCATAGACTGTTTAATGAGATTTTTGTTACCTGAGCTTAATACAAAGGAAGTATTTTGATTATAAATACAGTAGTGGTTAGAAAGCCTTTCTTGTGCAGAATATTGCAGATTTTCCATTCTTTGATGATAGTAAGAACTGCAGAGAAGAGTTAATTGGTGCTTATCCAAACTAGCACTTAGAATATTTTCTTGCTTTTTAATAAAAGCGCATAATGTAAGACTAATAAATAGCTAGAGTAGTTTAAGAAGAGATCTGGGATTTTTTTTTTTTTTTTTGTCTTTTTGAAGCAGGGTCTCCCTGTAGCCCCAATTCTCCTAGAACTCACTATGTAGACCAGGCTGGCCTTGAACTCACAGAGATCTGCCTGCCTCTGCCTCCCAAGTGCTGGGACTATAGGGGTGCACTACCACGCCTGGCTTTGAGATCTGTTTTTAATTCATTTATGGGGTATACTTGCTCAATTCATAGTCTCCTTTAGGGGGAAAAAGACTTGATCTGAGAACTTTCTGACAGGTTGCAGAGTTATGTTCCTATATTTTAAAATAATAATTAAAAAAATTTATTTTATGTGTATGTGTATTTTGCCTGTATGTATATAAGTCCACTACATGCATGCAGTTACTGCAGAAGCCAGATGATGATGCTGGCTCCCTTGGAACTGGAGTTACTGATGGTTGTTAGCCACCATGTAACTGCAGGGAACTGAACCCTAGTCCTCTGCAAGAGCAGCCAGTGCTCTTAACCACTGAGTTTTCTTTCTAGCCCCATGTTCATTTATCTTTTTGTTATGTGCTCTTAACATTTTTTTTGATTTAGTAAGCACACAAACACTAAAAAATTATTATATACTATTTGAGATAGTTTTTGACTAGCTTGTCACTAAGTAGAATAAAAGTAGAATAAATATAATGGGATTTGGAAAATTGTTTTAGTTAGAAATGAGATAGAAATGATAAAGGATGAAAAGGATATATTAAAATGCTAAAAATGTAGATTTCATGTTGTTAAGTGGTGGACATCAATCAAAAGATTGATAGATACTGAATAATCAGAATTCTTGTGAATTATGCCTTTTATTCTTTGAATATATATATATATTTAAACTTTATTTTTTTTATTTTATTGTATTCATGTATTGCCTGGTAAGTGCACCTGTGTCGTGCAATGCCCGCAGAGGTCAGAAGAGGCTGTTGGATCCCCTGGGACTGGAGTTACGGACATTAGCTGCCATGTGGGTGCTGGGATTCGAACCCAGGTCTTCTGCAAGAACAACCAGTGTTCTTAACTGTTGAGCCATCACTTCAGCCCCTGAATATATTTTAAGATATACTTGAACTCACTTAAATTAGTAAGACAACTTTTCCTTCAAATAATTTGTTCCTTTTTATATCATTACTTCATAAATACTTCTTCATGGGTTTAGAAGACTAGAACTCTTGTTTTTACTTTTATTTTATTTAAAACAATTTTTTAAAAATTTATTTTTTATGTGTATGCATATATTGCCTGTGTGTAGGTAAGTGCACCTGTGTCGTGCAATGTCTGCAGAGGACAGAAGAGGCTATTGGATCCCCTGGAACTGGAGCTATGGACAGTTGTTAGCTGCCATGTGGGTGCTGGGATTCGAACCCGGGTGTTCTGCAAGAACAACCAGTGTTCTTAAGAGGATTTTAACATCAATTTGGCTCAAAGTTTAGGTTTCATTGTGCCCAGGAGGAGGACATGGGATAAGTGTATTACTAGTTGTAACTAAAGGAAATCTCAGTCATGAATTGTTAGAAATATATTACATACCATAAGAGAGACCCTTCAGTGGATGAAACACTGGGAGTAGAGTAATTCCCCAGGACTTTTCAGGACAGTTCTAAACAATGTAAATATGATAAAATATGATATTCTTTAAAAAAATATTTTTTTATTATTTAAAGGAAATCTGAATTGTTAGAAATATATTACATACCATAAGAGAGACCCTTCAGTGGATGAAACACTGGGAGTAGAGTAATTCCCCAGGACTTTTCAGGACAGTTCTAAACAATGTAAATATGATAAAAGATAAAATTCTTTAAAAAAATATTTTTTTATTATTTTGATTTTATGTGTATGAGTATTGCCTCTGTGTGTGTAAGTGCACCCATGTCATGCATTTCTCACTGAGGTCAGAAGAAGGCTCAATGGATA